CAAAAAAAAAAAAAAAAAATAACGGGTGCGAAAAAGCCAAAAGTCAGGCTTGGCCACAATATGATACCCTACCTTAGTTACTATGCATTCTTAGTAGAGCTTGTAGCAAAAAAACTTTACTTATATTGTGTAATTATTCGAAGTAAATATTGTCAACAATGATCTTTATTGAGTGCATAATATGGCATAAAATCGGATGAAATAAATATATAAGGAAACTATATCTTAATCTGAATCGTTTTCCACTAAATTTAACGGAAATATTTTTATACTGTAGTGGCCCCTGTAGGTTAGGTTAAGTTAAAGGATGCGCAGTTACCATATGGCAACCGCTCCACTCGGAGACCTATAAGTCCATTGTGTTCATCCTAGAAGAAAAGGAACGAGTGGTTGATAGAAGGGGTGAAGATAGGAGATAGAGTTATAGAGTATGATCTAGGGCTGAGGAATTTGCGTGTCGTCTGTAGCCACTTGAATCTTTTGGCTAATTGAAGGATTACTATAGGGTCAGTGTTAGAAAAAGAAGACAGATCATGTGACACTAGTTCTCCCACCAGCCTGTGTCTCTCATTAATGAGTGGTGGGCAGTGGCAGAGCAAGTGTTCGACTGTATCGATTTCTTCTTCATCTTGACAGATCCTACAGTAGTCAATGTCCCATTTCGAGGTCATTGCCATCACCTTACAGTGACCTGCGATGATACCCACCACAAGCTTTAGATCAGGTTTCGACAATGACAGTAGCGACTTTGTTGTCTTCTCTGAGAGTGTGGGCCAGATTCTTTTGGAAATGGTGCAACCCATTTCGTCCAGCCCTTTTTGTTGGATTCTCTCAAAGTAATGTCTGTGAATGACCTGTAGGAAGTGGCACAGGTGGTTTAACCGAGTTATATACTTCAATTGTATTTGATTCGGATCCTAGCCTCGCCAATTCATCTGCAGCCTCGTTATCTGGGATGTTATAATGACCAGGGGCCAGTGTTTTGGCCCCTGTAGCTATAAAGGAATTGATTTCGTCCAAACATGGCAGGCTTTAATCTTGACAGAATTTTGTAGTATGATCCAGGACACAACCTAATTGGGCTAAAGTAGAACGGTTGGCGTATTATTTACAAACAAATTAGGAGAATATATATGAGAGCTATATGTTAATCTGAACCAACATCGACCAAATTTGTCAAAAGTATATCTAAGCTGTATCTGATACCTCGTACCGAATATCATTTTTATATATTATATTACGACTCTGAGGGACCTATATCTCAAATCTCAAAAAATTGACAGTTGTTTTTCTCATCATAACTAGCACCTAAAAGCGAACTTTGGAAGGTCTATTTCGTCCAGTGGATCCAAACCAAATTCTCCTTAGAGTGACCATATAAAATATAAGGCTGGTCACTGTGAGATTTTCAGCTGGGATTGCTTTGAAAAAATAATTGGTGCAGAGGCACTTTCCATGCTCTTTCCAAATATGGACACCACACAGTTGCGTCCTTGACCAGTTTCCACAGTATGTATAACATAAGACTGAAGAGTAGAAGTGTTTTCGATGCTCTTTCCAAATATAGACACCACAAAGTTTTAACCTAGACCATTTCCCTAGTTGGCCCAAAACATATTTTTTCTTAGAGTGATTTCCAGATTGGTTTGCTTTGGCAGAATAGTCTAGGAGCATTTCGATGCTCTTTCCAAATATGGACACCACAAAGTTGCAATTCGTTCGAAAAATAGCGTGATATCAAATAAATTTTAATAAAATATCCGCAACCCTGGTTGTATCCAAATGGTAAATGGTTGGAAGTCAAATAACGGCCTCGACTACGTATTTGAAAACAATGGCGATACTGGACGAAACGTTTTCTACGTACAGTGTTGGCAATACCGCTTTGTCAGAAAATGGAAAAAACTTTTCATCGACATTGTATAGTTAAATATAAACGAGGGTCTGAATATTGCAATACTCTTTTGATCTCCCACGATATGGGGCATCATTTATAGAATCTCGATTTTGGGTTTTTAGAAGATTTTCACCATACTTTTTGACGAAATTGTTTGAAGTTTGATATGCGTGTTTATTAATTATTAAAATTATTAAATATTCAAGTGGATCAATGGTGTGGTATATTCCACCCCTATATAACAGTGCCTTCCGATATTAGGTATTTTGATAGCTTCTTCAGTATTCAGTATTGTAGAAATATCTGTAATTTGACGGAGGGAATTAAAAGTCCGACCCGACCAAAAGCATTTTTCAGTTTTGGCAGTCACCTTTATGTATTTTTGCTTTCAATTACGGTTTGTTGATACGACCACGTCTGGGAAATGCTCTTAAGTTGGCTGTGATTTGAAATTTTCAGCAACTCCTGTAAATAATGTCGCTAAAATCATCAAAATACAGAATATAGGGAGGTACCGTTATATAGGGGCTATATAAAGACGTGAACCCATTTACGAACTTAACCAGCCTACTGGCAAAATAAACATGTGTGCAAAATTTTAACCTTCTATCTCAATTCGTTCGAAAGATAGCATGATGACAACAGACAGACAGACGGAGATCGCTAAATCGATTTAGAATTTTACACTGATCAAGAATATGTATACTTTGTTGGGTCTGACATGAGTATTTCGAGGATTTATAGTATGGTGGAGGGTATAAAATGTATATAGCCTATGTTACTTTCAGACGAAAACTACCACTAAATGAAAACCATCATATGGGGCCTATACGAAGACGTGGAGCTGCATACGAAATTTTTTGCCTGTTGTAGTACCCATTAAGATTTTTAAATGGGAAATTCTTAACGATTCCGCCGAATAATGTTGCTGAAATCGTCAAAATACCGACTATCGGGAGGTACCGTTATGTGGGGGCTATACGAAGACTAGGACCTGCATACACAAATTTTTGTCATAGGCTGTAGTACCCATTACGAACTTAAAATATGAAATTTAAATAATTCCGGTAAATATGCATGTATGCAAAATTTTAGCCTTTTATCTTAATTCGTTCGAAAGATAGCGTGATTACAACAGACAGACGGCCCATTCCCGGCGATGAGCTTGCTTGAGGTGATCGACACTTTGGCATTTTTTATTCTAACCTTGCTTTCCAAAATACTACAGACGAAATAGTCCAACGGATTGGTATCCGGAGATTGGCCATTGTGCGCTGGAAATGAAGCGAGGAACCTCATTTTTGTAAACATTGTTGGGTGGCGCGTACTCAGTACGATGGTGCTGAGTCCTATTGGAATGTCTAAGGCCTGTGGCCAAAATGTTTGCGTGTCCAAGGCTTTAATACACCCTCCAGAATATTTTCACGAGCGGCTCACACCATCACCATGGCCGACGCTCGAGTTCTGGTGGTCAACAAAAGGTGCACATTTTCAGTTGACTTCTTTGGCAAGTAAACACGATCATTTTGTTTGTTTACAAACTGCTGGAGAACGAATGTTTTCTCATCAGAGAAAAACAAATTCGGCAGTTCACCACTTTCAGCCAAGCGAAGCAACTCTTTAGCTCTTTTGAGTCTATGGAAGGTATATTAAGTTCGTCATTCCATCAATTCAATTTTGCACAGATCTGTCTTTTGTCTGCAGGCAGGTCATGTTCGAAGAGGGGCTATATCGGTCCACGATATCGTATAGCCTCCATATAACGGTACCCCCCGATATTTGGCATTTTGATTATTTTAGTCACATTTTCTAATGGAATTCTGAAATTCCACAAGAAGTAGTCCCTTCTGTGTACTTTACCCCTGAAAGAGAATTTTCCACAATATCGTATATCCCCCATATAACTGTACACCCCGATATTCGGTATTTTGACGATTTAAGCCACATTTTCCAATGGTATTGTCTGAAATTCCACACAAGGAGTTCCTTGTGAGTACTTTATCCCCTGGAAGATAATTATCTATATAGGTCCACGATATCGTATAGCCCCCATATAACGGTACCCCGTGATATTCGGTATTTTGATAATTATAGCCACATTTTTCAACGGAATTGTCTGAAATTCTGCACAAGGAGTTCTTTGTGAGCACTTTACCCCCTGACAGAGAATTCTCTTAATAGGTTAACGATATCGTATATCCCCCATATAACGGTACCCCCCGATATTCGGTATTTTGACGATTTAGGCCACATTTTCCAATGGTATTGTCTGAAATTCCACACAAGGAGTTCCTTGTGAGTACTTTATCCCCTGGAAGATAATTAGCTATATAAGTCCACGATATGGTATAGCCCCAATATAACGGTCGAGGGGTACCAATATTCGGTATTTTGATGATTTTAGCCACATTTTTTAATGGAATTGTCTGAAATTCCACACAAGGAGTCCCTTCTGAGTACTTTACCCTAAGACATAGATTTGTCTATATAGGTCCACAATATCATACATCCCCCATACATCGGCACCTTCCGATATTATGTATTTTAAAGATTTTAACTGAATTTTTAATGGATTTCATTTTTTTTTTTTTTGAAAAATTTCTAATTCGTTTTAAATGGTGGAGGGTATTCAAATTTCGGCCAGGCCGAACTTCCTGCTTTTTTACTTGTTCCTTCTGTTGCGGTGTAAGTTCTTGCACTTTTTGGAATTTCAATGGCTTTACCCCGAGCTCATTTTTCAATATTTGCCGGTGGGTTTCGATCAAGTCGCTTGATGTACGCTACCAATATCACGGTAACGAGCGATGGTACGAGACACAAAAGATTTATTCAGATTTAAATGCTGGAGTGCTCTAACGATAGCCACTTTTGGTTTTCCAGCCAAATATAAGGAAATCACACTATAACGCTTTAATTCCTTCACGAATAATTTTTTTTGGAAAAAATGCTTTTGTACGCTTCTAAACAATGTAATGAGCTGTCACTGGAATAATTTTAACAGCTGTCGGACGGACAGCTGTCATCTCACCCTATTAAAATTAATTAAAATGGAAAATAACTAGTCACTACTAAAGATAATCTAAAACCATATTTTTATATTCAGGTATCCTATGTGCCAATTCGTACGTTTGGTTAAGGGGACTAAATATATACAAGAAGTTCAGGAAATGACCCGAAGAACTAATACGGCAGAGAATTGCATAACACCTGCTATGAATATTGATGAAGCTATGTTAACCCCTCCAGTCCGGTTAGCACTTGAGATGGGTGTAGATGGGGGTGTTATACGCAACGAGACACTACGCCAACTCAATCACACTGGAAGACCATATGATACTGTTGAGGATCTTTTAAAGGCTGTGTTTGATGGTCGAGAAAATAACGAAGAGCCGAGCATTTCGAATGTAGAAACGTCATGCACGAGTGTCTGTAGAGGAATGACAAACTCAAACTCTGAATCAATTGCACCAAATAATACTGAAGAGGAGGAAAGAATTGTTGTCCCAACTTCTGGAGACAATATTGGAATTGATAAGACATCAATTGAACCCAAATCTATATCAAATCTTAACACATCATCAACATCAAAGGGGGATGATATGCCAATACCAGAGTTGTTATCATTAGAAGAGGAAAATCGAAAGCTAAAGGATGCTCGACTATGCAAGATATGTTTGGATGAAGAAGTGGCAGTAGTTTACCTTCCCTGCGGTCACTTGGGTGAGTATAATAGTATTTGCCGTGGTTTTACAATAAAACTCGTTTTATTTTCAGTGTCTTGCGTTCAATGCGCCCCCGGCGTTGAGCAGTGTCCATTGTGTCGCACAGCCATAAAAGGCTTTGTTAGAACGTATCTTTCATAAGTTTAGCCTATATTTATTTCTCCGCTTGTTAAGAAATGTATTTCAAACCTTATGCATAATAAAGTGTCCATAGTTGCATGTGACATTAAGTGATACATTATGTAAACGTGATTGGATATTATTAATAATTGATATCAAAATTCATTTCATAGAACACTGCAATGTGCGAAGTTTGGAAAAAATCGGAAACCGGTTTCAAATTTTACCGGGGTTACTATCCAGGTAGATGACCGACCATCTCGACTCATCTTGTCTTAAATTGATTTGCTTTATCTTAAATTTAAGCAATTCATTTATTTAAATTCTTTGAATTATGATAATATAACATTATAAGGCTATTCTGTTAAACAAATATATGTATACTATCAAAAACCATTAATATGTAGTCAATTCCCCAAAACATATTGAGTCGGTATACATTATAGATCTGTGCAATTTATTAGGTATTCGATTCGTTTTATATGAGTCATATGTTCTTCAACTTTTGTGTGACTTTCTTTAACTTGTGTGGGGGAGGTACCAAACTATATATACAATAATACTCCATTTGCACGTATTCCAATATTGTGATGTGAAAGGTTTGAGAAGATGGGACATTCATTTTTCATTTTAAGAGGTTTATTGTTATTAAAATTCTCCATTTGGGGGAGGTACAAGAAAAAGTGAATATTGTTTATACTCAAATATGCACTAAGTTTTATCTAAATATTACGTTGTGCCAAGTTGAACTATATCGGGTACTCACATCACTCAATATCAGATTTTTAATTTTTCCCAATCTTTTTAATATTTATGAAGGATGTACCAGAAGTATTTCTATTACTGATTCTCTCTTTCTGGTAAATCCAAATGTGAAGTGTGTGATATTGATCCAACACCGCAAAATTTTGATAAAACATAGGTTAGTATCGAAAATAAACAAAAGGTAAAAAATCAAATGTATGCAAATGTATGTAACATAGATATTATCTTTTTGGTACCGCTCTCACAAAAACTAGTCCAAACTTGGGCCATGGAAATATTTTAGGGAAATTCGTTCGCTTAGCCGGTCATCGATCTGGTAATTGATAAATGGCTACATTCCAATTCTTAAATCCATTTCATTTAACACGAAATATATAAGTATATCAAAGTATTATAATCCTATTTACAAAAGAAGAAGTAATTCTAATAATTAACCGTAAGATCATGAGACATACTTTGTCCAGTTAATTATTTTGCCGATGTTGGACAGCAATGATTTTTAAAAGAACTGATTATCAAATGTATGACTTATACACTAACGTGTGTTTCTGGATAGTGAACACAAATGGTGACTGAACTTCACTCACAATTTGAAGAATAGTGCTATTACATCTAACACCGCTGTGTGATCCGATATTCGATTTTACTGGATAAGTATTTTTACCTTTGTTCTGTTTTGTAGTAGTGCAATTGGCTTGAAAACAGGCTAATTCCTTTATGCAGGGACTATAACATGAACCTATTGTGTGCATCTAACAGCTTCTGCCTTCAAACAAGTCAAGCTTTAAAACAAGTAAACAAAGGCTATAGTCTAGTCTGACTAGAATCAAAGAATCCATTCTCTGTCCTGCTGATAGGAATTCAAAACCATCCATCAAATTTAAGGTTCTGTATGTACTTAGCTACTTTCCTTATATCTGACTATATACGTCAACGAAATCACTATCAATATAAAGGTTCTTTTTATAGGTATGTGATGTTGTTGTTGTTGTTGTTGTAGCAGTTTTACACGTTCTGTTGTTTTTTTTTTCCGACTAATCTGGTTCTTCCTCAATGTCCAGGTTTAGGAATTCTGCTACCTTTATGGGCTGTAGCCATAGATCCTCTGGATGGAGTTGGGTAGGCTTGGCAGGACAATTAAACAAATGCAGCGTGTTGTGCGGGCCTGTATCACACGCTGGGCAGGCGTTCCGCACATCCTCATCAATTCGTGCCCAATACGAATTGAGACGGCTGCACCATCCTGAACGTAGTTGGGCCAAAACTACCCTGGTTTGCCTAGGCAGCCGACGTTCTTCAGCTGCAATGGATGGGGGGTGGACTCCGAGTATGGCATTCACACTGTAATTATTGACTACCTCAGCGACTGCATCAGTATGAATGCTATTCAGACCTGCTTGATAGGCTTCATGATCTAGAGGCTCTCTCTTATATCGCTGGACCTCTCTCTCTAGATCGTGCAGGTCCTTCCTGACACGCCTGGGTGGGGGAGTTCTATCCACCATATGGTGGTTAGGGTGACTCCCGCGATAACACCCAAGCAGGTACTGCAACGAAAGCATATGATTATGCTGACGTAAGGGAAGAACCTTCGTCTCCTCATGTAAGTGGTCCACAGGCGTCATGAGGAGGCACCCTGTTGCAGTTCTCAGGGCGGCATTCTGGCAGGTCTGAATACATTTCCACTGCGTTGCACTTGTATTCGCCGACCACACTGGAGCCGCATAGCTAACCACAGACCGACCTATCGCTTTATAAGAGGTCAACAAGGTTTCTTTATCCGCACCCCAAGTTCTGCCGGCTAGCGCCTTGAGGACCTTGTTCCTACTTTTCATTTTATCGCAAATAGCTGTGGCTTGCGCGGAAGACTTGAACATGCTATCGAATGTGACCCCAAGAATTTTGGGGTAGTTGGTGGTCGGAATTATATGCCCCTCGACCTGCACATTCAGCTGTGTTCTCATCTCCGCAGTCCATGTGGTAAATAGTGTGGCCGTCGATTTAGTGGCGGATATTTTCATATTCCTCGCGTGGAAGAAGGCGGCAAGCTCCGCGAGATAATTATTCACCCTGACACATATGTCATCAACTACAGGACCCGACGCCATGATCGTACAATCATCCGCATAAGTTACGATCTCGATGCCGTCTGGAGGGCGCGGAATTCCGGAAAGGTAGAGGTTAAACAGTTCCGGAGATATCACCCCACCTTGGGGAACTCCCTGTTTCACTCTACGAGGTTTGGACTTCTTATTCCGGAATTCCACGTACGACTGGCGTCCACACATATAGTTGACTATCCAACGTTTCAAACTTGGCCGGAGGGTAGTGTTCTCAACGTCCTCGAACAGCGTGGCATGGTTGACCGTATCAAAGGCCTTTGATAGGTCGAGAGCCACCACTACTGTTCTGTGGCACGGCCTGTTCTGGTTGAGTCCTCGACTGATATGTGTGGATATGGCGTGCAATGCTGTTGTAGTGCTATGTAGAGGACGGAAACCGTGTTGATGGTTAGCAACTGAATAGCTTCCTCTGATACTGGGGAGGAGTAAGGCCTCGAGAGTCTTTGCTACTGGCGACAAAAGCGAAATTGGCCTGTATGATTCGCCTTTGCTGGCATCCTTGCCAGGCTTCAGTAGCGGGACCACCCTGCCCATTTTCCAGGCTTCGGGAACTATGTGGGTGGCTAACGACAAGTTAAAGACTTTGGTTAAATACTCAACTCCCGGCGTATCCAGTTGCTTCAACATTACCATTGATATTCCGTCCGGGCCCAACGCTTTAGATGACTTAGCGTTTCGGATGACATTCGCAACATCACCCATCGTAAACTGTGGAGGTACATCCTCGGCGGGAAGAGCTCTTATACGACGTAGTACTCTTCGCCTCGCCCTATCACTCTCGGGGTGCTCGACAAATTGGCGGTTAAAACAGCCAGCGCACCTCTTCGGATCAGTCACAGTTACGTCGTTAAATGTGACTGCTGTCCTATCATCCTTTTTCCCAGGGTTCGAGAGTGACTTTACCGTTACCCACAGTTTACTCAAATCGGTTCCGATGTTGCAACACTTCAGATGGTCTAGCCACTTTTTCCGCTTATGCTCCTGTACCAACCGGTTGACTTCCACTGTCAGTTCACTGACTCTGGGATCAGTAGGGTTGGTACGTCGGAGCTCATCACGCTCATTCGCTAATCCCGCTGCCTCTGCTGGGAAATTTGGTCTTACTTCGGGTATTCGACCAGCAGGTATATAGCGAGCGGCTGCAGCTTTGATGATGTCCCGGAAAATCCTTTCAGCTACCCGAACATCAGAAGGATTGGGCAGTTCTCTGAAGCGAAGGTTGGTGAACTCTCTGAACTCGGGCCAGTGGGCTTTCCCATGGTTAAGGAAAGTGCGGCGTTCAGAGGTTATGAAATCGGGCGATCTGCTGATGGAGACGATTATCGGGAGATGGTCTGAGCCAAGAGAAATGACGGGTTGCCAAGTCACGTCATTTATCAGACCGGGTGACACGATGGTTAAGTCTGGCGAACTGTGACACTCTCCTCTTATTCGGGTGGGGGCATCCTCGTTTACCGTGCAAAATGTGGAGCAGTCAATCTGCTCTGCCAACGCTGATCCCCTCTGGTCATTACCTAGGACGGAATGCCACAACTCATGGTGGGCATTGAAGTCCCCTAGTACCAGGCGGTTATTGCCTTCCAAAAGTGGGCTTATATTAGGCAAGTAACGCGGTTCACAGCTATTAACCGGCGGGATATACACATTAAGCACCTCTACCTCGGCAGTACCACACTTGACTGCTACCCCCATACACTCCATGTACGGGTCACTAGAGACTAGCTCAAGCGAGATAGGTCTGTATTGAACAGAATGGTGTATCAGGAACGCTAATCCCCCACCTCCACTTCTGGTGCGATCTTTCCTCAATACGTTGTAACCATTGCAACGTTGTAAGCTACAATTTTCATTGAGCTTGGTTTCCTGCACCGCTGCGATCTTGATATTCCTCCGATTCATAAAATCCACTATCTCATCAATTTTACCTCGGAGTCCGTTGCAATTGAACTGCAAGAACGATGCATTGTCCGGAATTGGAACAGCAACATGTGGCGTTAAGTGCTGCGGTAAAGGTTGCTGTTCTGGAGACTGCGGGGGAGTTCCATACTCCGACGACGACTCGGAAGTTGACGACGAGGTCGTGGACTCACTGGGGACTACGTTGGTGCAGCACGAAGCAACATAGTCCCTATCGCTATAGTCTCGCAACCGGGTTAAACCGGAACAATTTCTAAAATGCACCCATCCTCTGCATCCATTACATCGCACCGAGACTGATCTATGGTGGATGGTG